ATCCTAACGTTGCCTAGATCCACAGAAATAAAAACTGATGCGAACCTTGTAAACCCCAATCGGATGAGTAATAGTGTGCGAAATGAATTCATGGCTGCACATATGCAGAACACCTGTCAGGTAAATGAAACAAGGTGCCACACACACAAACACAACTGAGAAATTCAGTATCCCAATGAGATAATGTGTGTGTATATATGTGTGGGAGGGGGAGGGAAGCAGAGTACCAACCGCAGTTGCATCAAATACTATTACATGCAAATACACCAGAATTAAAAAATATGTATATGTATATGCATATGGAAAGTTATTATCCAATCCACTATACTTCTATTCCCTCTTCTTTACATCACTGACCCATTTCATCATCTTCACTGTTCCACACTCCATTGGGGTGTCCAGTGTATTTCTTGTTCTGCTGTCGTTTGATTGCGATTCCCTAGTTACCAATATTGCCCTTCACGGCGGTGTATACCCCCATTAGAATGAACACAACTCAGCCTCACCATTTCCAATAGCAAACCAGAAACAAATGCCGCAGACAGAGTGCCCAATTGCCAACATCATATCAACGGAAACACAATCCATTCAGAGTGACATAATAAACACACTAACACATATTAACTGGCGCACAAAAAGTGACCCAAATCACACATCCCCCATATTCAATATCAATCTTTTGATCTACTCCAGTGCATTCACTTATACACCATCAAACACTCCCATTGTTGATAATAAAACAGACCATACTCCCCTTTACAGGCTGTTCTGTCTATTCAACTACAAATAAACTCACAAAGGAGCACACACACTGCTGCACCATTACCATGTCTTACTCCTGTTCACTTTACTATTATCTGCCTAAAATAATAAGGAAATTATAGAGAAAGAGAGGCACATACACATTACACACCTTTTTTTTTTGTTTACACTCACTCTAATGCTCTCCCTTTCACTCTTTCACACTCTGAGCTGAGCACAGCAAATGAGTTGACGTTAGCCATGGAAGAGAATCCTGCAGAATTGCCCCCTCATCATATTCAGGGGCCAACACAGATAAAAAACAAAATAGAATGGAAAAATAAACACATATTTATATATAGAGAACCAAATAAGGTAAACACAATGGCAAGAACACTTCTTTAATTTTACTGTCACCATCTCTTTAATTCACACCCAAGTTAACTCACAATCAGGTGCGCCAAAAGGTTCCTCATTTTTCTTCAAGGCAAGGAAAAGAAAGGTGGTGTTGGGTGACCAAGAAGGAAAAACAGGAAAACAAAATAAAAACATATATAAAAGAATACAATTTTGACGATTTCTCAATCCCCAAATCTGAAAAAGACAAAAAACAAATAGAACTCAAATACCAAGTTCAAATTAGAAAAAAAAAAACATACGACGTACCGTTTTTATTACTAGTCAGATCCTTCAAGCATTTGTTTTCTTATCTTCCCCATTTATTATAATTCGCTCATTAACGGGGTATCTTTTCCCCTACACCACCACCCCCGATTCTCTCTCTATCTACATTATTTTACCAACAAACAATGCAACGATAAATACATACATATGCATTGTACACTAACCAAGCAATCACAAACATTGATGGAGTGAAAGAACTCATTCATCCCTACTTTTTTTTTTTTTAATTAACTATTTCTTTGGTGTTTTCCCCTTTAAAACATTTTTCTTTTATTGTAGGCTAATTGCTAAATGCTTTCTTTGGCGTTGCTCACATTTTACAATTGCCTTTGTTTATCTTCTAACTGAAATATTAATACGTAGTAACATAAATATAAACTAGAGAAGAATATGTTGGTCTTTTATTAGATTCAAAGACCAACGACCCTTCACAAGATGAAAAGTTTACAGATTATATATATATAAATATATTTCATGTTGTATATATGCATCCGCTGAGGTTTATTACTGGCATAGAAGCTGCTGTGCCCTACAAAGGTCACTAATAGCGTTTGAAAGGCTGAAGTACATCATGCGCAAGCAGACGGATGATACCTGGTTCCATTCCATGACATGCCTTCCCCTTTCCTAGACGAGCAAAGCAGACATTCTGCGTCACTGAGGATATCACATTCCCACTAAAATACTCACCCTCGACAAGCAAAAAGTAATCCACGGCGAGAGCGCACAACCCATACTCACAGTCCTCAAAATGGGGATAGTAATCTTTGTCATACATACGCGCGCCTCTCATCGCCAACTCTCGGACGGCATTTTTATCTTGACCGTCATGTGCCACAAAGAGTGGAAAAGAAAACAACTTCAGACCCAGTGAGGTGTGCAGCGCATCAAGGTACGGTATGCTGATGTTGCAATGAGCAAGCGGTTGCTTTTCCCGTTGGGGCGACAGGTGTGTATATTCCCGAAAGTTAGGCATCTTTTCTACCAACTCTTTTTTACAGCTCGACTCGCGGTGTCGCTTGTGTATGGCAATATATTGGTTTCCTGAAGAGAAATAATAGTTAAGAAATTCATCCACCTTTTTCCGCACAAACGGGGAGGGTTGCAAAAGACTGTAAATAGCCGCATGATGGAGAAGACCATGATGAAGTAAAAAGGCATACTGACCACCAATCACTATTACATCAGCTTTTTGAGCACGAAAAATTGCAAAGGCCTCTTTTAAAATTCTATTTCGACGCGACCATGGAATGAACCCTGGCACGCCTACCCTTTTTCCCTGTGGTTGCATACGTTCAAAAAGAGAAGTCAATGGTGGGCGTTTTAGACACGTACCGTAACAAGTATACGTGAGATTTTCCAAAAAAGGTGAAGCAAGCAATTTCTCCTCTAACACATCCTCTGTAATCACACAATACCGTTGTGCAATCTCTGAAATGTTATAAATCTTTGCAGGGTGCACCAAGGTACCTTCAACCCAAAATCCCCCAAAAACAGCAGTGCGATTTAAACGTTCTGCCCATAATATAATATTCATATATTCTTCCATTTGATTGTGATGGCGACCGTACTGTGCTTTAGCAATAATGTATTTTTCTGGACACACACGGTGTGGACCGCTGGCGTTATAAGAGACAAACGCCTCTTGTCGGTTGGAGACGTCTTGAAGTTCCTCCTCTGTCAGTTCCAGAGTGTCAAGATCGGCATCAAAGGGGTAAAGTGTGAATAAATCCGACGAATTGGACTGTACGCTATTGGGAAGGATTGCAGAAGGATTCACATAATCCCAACCATTGTTGTAGTAGTTCAAATTAGCCCCAAAAAGCCAAGTTACCAAAAAGAAGAGCAGGGTGTAAAGAATGAAAAGAATCCTGCGATACGTATTCGACATGCCAAACTGAAAGATAAAAACGAAAATAAATCCAAGTCTTACTTTGTCATTAAAATAAAGAGATATAGAAGAAACAGAAAACAATATAATTAATTTAACATATTGAACAAACACATTCCCCGTAATTTACAAATACATCCTGAAATTTCACCCCCATGGTTATTCCCTATTAAATATCACCAACTGAGGAAATGGATGTGATAAGAAGCCCCTTTTAACGTGCCTCCCACTTTCGACGGTTAGAATTGGGTGGGATTGGGTAGACCTTCAAAAACCTACCGTTTGAGAGGCTGTAAAAAAAAAAAATAAGAAAAAATAATATATTTCAAATATTAAATTCCAAACACCATTTGATTCCCATTAAAATAAGACTCCACCATTCTTTTCGCAAACTGACAAAAAACATTTAAACAAAACCCTCAATGATTACCAACCGGTCTAAAAAACACAACCTGCAAGAATACCACAGACGTCAGAAAGGCAAAACACAAAATGTCCTTGCAAACCCCAATCGGATGAGTAATAGTGTACGAAATGAATTCATGGCCGCACACAGGCACAACACCTGTCAGGTAAATGGAACAAAGCGTCACACACACAACTGAGAAATTCAGCATCCCAATGAGGAGAGACAT